TATATATATATATATATATATATATATATATATATATATAGTGTTTTAAAAAATTAGTAATAATAATATTTTTATATGTGATGCTATAGATTTGAGTGGCATGCATGTAAATATCAACTTTTAAGAGTTAGATATGTAAATTTATAAGAATTGTGATTATTCATGAAGCAACAAAGTCATTTTACTTTATATATATATCTTTTTACATTTATACCACAAATAAAATTTTAATATCACATCCAAATATTATCATTTTAATTTTTAAAAAGTGAAATAAATGTTTTGCTGCGCAAATAAGGTGACTTAAAAAGTGAAATAAATCATTCGTATTATATGATTATATGATGGATGTTTGTTGAGTGGGCGGATTCAAAATTCAATTTAAGCATACAGCTAGTCACCATTAATATAAAGGAGCCTTTACATGCTTACCACATAATTCCTATGTAAAACTTAAATATTCCTTTTAATCTATAGATTTGTGACACCAAAATATTATACATATAAATATCAAATTTTGGACGTCAAATATGTAAACACATAAGAGAATCGAAATAGTCCAAGTCAAATCTTGTAATTAAAAATTCCTCTCTTTAATTTATTTATTGCTTGATAATAGAATATAATTATTTTTAACTCAAATGTCACTATAAACATTTGTATTTATTCATACATCACCTAATTTATTTTATAATAACTAATATGTCATTCAATTTTTACCATATTATTATTTATATAATAACTCACATCCTCACATAATAGAAACTAAAAAATTAGAGAACTATAATATTAAAAAACTCTAGAATTGATCTACCCGATATGGGTGTTGATGATTACTAACAACAATTGTTATCTCCCAACAATTATTCTTACCTGAACATCATTTCTCGATCGCTTTTGTTATAATGTTATCATCGGACCACTCTCATCGTCTCGATGTTCTTCAAGTATCATCGCTCGGCTATCGCCAAAAGAGAACTATATATTGACTGTCATTATTTATTGATCACACTGATGCATAATGATTGTCTGTTGTCTTTTAATCATCATCATAACCATTCACTAATTCTCAATCATTCCCCTATTCAACTATATGTTTTATAATCTCATTTTCTTAAAAATAAAATCATACATCTAGCTTTGGATTCTCTTTAACTTTTCAAAGGCTATGTGGTTTTGGTATTATTCCTTTTGACTATTTCAGCCCATCGATATAAGATATGTATATGAATAAGAATTGTGTGGTATGTACGTAAATACCCCTATTTTTTAAATATCTGATAGACATTTATTATAAAAAAAATAAAAAAATAAACTAATAATGGTGAGCTATAAACAAATATTTATTTTCAACAATGTCAATATGAGAATCATTTATAGTTTGCAAGGAAGAATAGCGGCCATAAAATATCTAAAGTTGTCTAAATAAAGTAAAACATATAACTTTAATTTAATTTATTTTAATATTTTTTTTAAATGCCATTGATTGAATTTAATTATTAATCAAACTATGTATAGTTTTGGTATTATTTCCTTGACTATTTCAGCCCACGTCATAGCCCACAGCTTTGTCATGAAGTTTTGTAAACGCAAGTTCATAATTCAACTAAATAAACTTAAATTAATCATATACAAAAAAACTATATCACAATCGGTCTTATATTAAATAGGGATAGAGCGAGAGAGCCAGAATTATGCAAATTTTGATGGAGAGATTTGAGTTTTCTCTACTTCTAGTATTTACCCTATCGTTCTATTGGTTGAGAGTGGAAAGCGAAGGTGGCTTCTCTATTCGCAAGGTGAACCAACGTTGCAGTGCCGAGGAAAGAGATGCCCTCCTTGATGTTAAGCAAAGTCTATCTGATCCTCACCTCCTTCTCTCGACTTGGGATACAGACAAGGATTGTTGCATATGGAAGGGAGTGAGTTGTAGTAATAAGATCAATCATGTCATCAAACTCGATTTTTCTACTTTCTCAGACATTGAGGGTGATGTTTTTTATGCCGCATCATTACATCCTTCTTTTTTCCGCTTACGACACTTGCAGTATTTATGCTTGGGTAACATTCTCTTTAATCAAATAAGGATCCCTCATTCTATTGGTTCCCTCAACAATTTGAGTCATCTTGATCTCTCCTCTTCGGGGTTTGTCGGAGAAATTCCACCACAAATTGGAAACTTGACAAAACTTAGATACCTTGATCTTAGTTATAATTCTCTTGTTGCTTATAACCTCTTGTGGATATCGCACCTCTTCTCTTTACAATTCATTGATATGTCGAATGTGAATCTAACATTCGCTACGAATTGGTTACATGAGATCAGTGCGCTTCCAGCTCTCTCCACTTTGTATTTGTCATCATGCAACCTAAAAACACCTCCGAATTTACTTTCATATTCTAATTTTTCATCAACCATTAAAACATTTGATCTTTATAATAACCATCTCAATGGAAGTTTGTCAAATTGGTTAGGACAATTCAAAAGAATAAAGGCATTATACCTCGATTCAAACTTTTTAACAGGACCAATCTCGTTAGCCTCTTTAAGCTTATTATGTGATCTATATTTTTTGGGCCTTAGCGATAATAATTTTACAAAATTAAGTGATGATGGAAATGCTTTAAAATGCAAAGAATATAAATTGACAAATTTGGATATCTCGAATAACCAACTGTGCGGAAGCATGCCTGAATGGGTTGGAAATATGACAAATTTATCCTGGCTTTATCTTCGAAACAATCAGTTTAATGGACTTATTCCACAGAGTCTTGGACAACTGACTAACTTAGTTTTTTTGGATCTTCATTCCAATAATTTGCATGGTAGTCTCTCTGAAATTCATTTTGCAAATCTATCACAATTGAAAAGCATAAATCTTTCAGGTAATCAACTGAATTTTAACATGGTTAGTCCTAATTGGACTCCACCATTTCAAATTAATTTTCTTGACCTAAGTTCTTGTCCCATTGGTCCTCAATTCCCACTATGGCTTCAAAATCAAAAGCTCCTCTCCTTTTTAGACCTCTCCAATTGTGGTATTTCTGATATCATTCCGAGTTGGTTTTGGAATATATCATCTCAAATAGAGTACTTGAACATGTCTCAAAATGCAATTAGAGGTGAACTTCCAATGTCGTTGAATATTGCATTAGAGGCAACTATCGACTTAAATTCAAATCAATTGGAAGGGCGCCTTCCTAGGCCAATGAATTTTGTACAATCTGTATCATTTTCGAACAATAAGTTCACAAGCGGGATTGAGTTATATCTAAATGGGAACATGAGTTTGTTGGAAGTGCTTGACCTTTCTCAAAATCATCTCTCAAGTGAAATCCCTAACTCTATATGCCAAATGCCTTCAATAATTCTTCTCGACTTATCACACAACAATCTTTCAGAAGAAATTCCAAATTGCAATGGTAATGTTTCAAGCTATAAGATGCTAAGGTTTATCAGCATGTCATATAACAACTTAAGGGGTTCAGTTCCACAATGGATAGGGAACCTACCAATGTTATTATCATTGAACCTCAACAACAATGTTTTTCAAGGGGAGATGCCTTTTTTCAAAAATTGCAGCAAGCTTATTACTCTTGACTTGGGATTTATACCATTATGGATTGGAGAAGAATTATTGTTATTAGGATTTATATTTATAGGTTGTTTTTTCAATAATTCTTTACCAATGTTATTATCATCCTGCAATTTTTATTTATTAGGATTTATATTTGTGTGAAGCAATCAACACAAATAACCTTGAAGATGTGAGGATTTAGGTCATGACTCAATTCAATGGTCATACAAAATAAGAGGCTTGAACCTCTAATTCCTGAAGATAATTTTATCTTTTTATATAAGAGGTTTGCCTTTTTGTTTTCCGCTGATCTTATGAGCTATCCAAGGATACCTGTACCTGATTCAGTAATGATCGATATAAAAGGAACAGTTCGTCAATTCAAAGGCATACTCTCTCTTATGAACATTATAGATCTTTCTTGTAATAATCTCACTGGTGAAGTTCCTGTTGAATTAACGAGCCTTGTTGGATTGATGAGCCTGAATTTGTCAAGAAACCAATTCACGGGACAAATACTGGTGTTATGCAAAGCTTAGAAGAAAGTTTGGATCTATCAAGGAACCATTTCTCAGGAGGTATTCCGGAGAGCATTGTGATGCTCAGTGCATTGAGTTATTTCAACTTATCCTACAACCAATTGTCTGGTAGAATCCCGACAGGGACCCAACTTGACACATTTAATGAATCAATTTATTACGGAAATCCAAAACTCTGTGGGAAACCACTACATAATACTTGTGAAGGTGATGAACATAAAATACATGGTGAAGGAGACAATTCTCAGGATGATGATGATGATTTTGGTTTGTTCCTCAGTATGGGACTTGGCTTTGCTGTCGGACTATGGATTGTATTGGGGACCTTATTTCTCAAGAGGTCTTGGCCGACCTCTTACTTTGAATTCCTTGATAGAATGATAAATAATATTTATGAATTTGTCAACGTGAAAGTGAATCAGTGGTTTAATCAATAAATAACATAATTTAATGATGATCATTTATGTATTTGAGTTATTTCATAAGCGTTGTTTGTAATCCCAATCTATATAATATTGTCTTGTACTAATATTTCAATTGAAGTTCTCTGTCTTTCAAGCCTGCATTTCTCTTTGAATCGTTGAGTTGCATGAGACGATGTTGGTGATAACATCATATTAAAGTATTATCAAGTCAAATTATTCCCAGTAAAAATATCAGTTAAAGTTATAAATTAAAATCAGCCTAAATTTTTACAAGTAACGATATGATCTTGATTAATTATTTCTAAATTCATATTTATGTTCATAATTGTTTGATGTTCGGATAAAAATTTGTTTGATATGAAGAAATATAATATGTTATGATAATTAAAATCTCAGGAATCTTTCCAAATGATATAAAATGTTATCATGCAAATTATTCCATTAAATAAATTATATACAATGCATCAAATAATAGAAGACACCAAATTAACTTCTTATTATTCTTTTTTCTAATTTCAGGGTTTAGTAAATTCATTTTATAAGATTGAATTTTATTATTCTTTTTTCTAATTAACTTCTTATTATTCTTTTTTCTAATTTCAG